AATTTATACGAACAATCAATCTGATATTTGACTCATAAACTACTAAGACAGATGGGGAACTCTACATTAAAGCCCACGCGTTGATTGCATTTCTGTGTATGGCCATGTACGTAAATAATGTTGATTAAAAAAAAAAAGGCAAAATATCGGAAATCCATAACCATCTGCACTCACATTACGTAACACTACAATACTGCTTCAGACAGCAATGAGCTCTAAAATAATCCTTTAACTTTAGTAAAACTACTCGTGATTTTTCCTCGCGACGAACAATTATTTTGTGACGTATAAATACAATGGGCTTTATGAAACATGCAAACGTACGTACTCCTAAAACAGATATTTTAAATACTCACTATTATACACAGTTCCAGATCAATGTTTTTCATCTGTACTGTATTGCGGTAAAATATATATTTCTCTACCGCAAACTGATAAAATTAAAAAGGTATAGATTTATATTAAATTCTTAGATAAACAACAAATTTTCAAATATTTTAGAGTACAAAAAATAAGTCGAAACCAAGAAATGTTTTTTTTAAAAATATATACATATATTTTAATAATAAAATTATAAAAACTTAAGATAATCAATGGGATTATTGTCCTTTCTAACTCATTAACTTCTGTACCCGGACATAAACCGATTTATTTGCATTGATTTTATTATCGTCGTAACCAAAAAATGTTTCACAAGCATGTAGTTCCAAATGGTAATAATATTTTTACAGTTTTCCCGTGTATAGTTGGGTACTTTGACTTTACTGTCAGCGAAAGATAAGTTATATTCATCGAATCCTAAATCTGACGTAATTCTGAAATATTTTCTTTTTCGGTGTCAGTGAGGTTGTTTTGATGATTAACAAACAGATCAGAAATCCACGTTTACGGAAAGCAAATCTTCTTGTAAACAGCGATGAACGAGCATTCGAGGAAATAGTTTCAAGTGTTCGCGGATAATAATTATGACGCCCCCCAAATTCAAGTTTTATTTTGTGATTTTGAGAAGGAATGAAAAAAAGTCGTAATTATTGTGGCTTCAACTGAATTTTTAATTTCTACTCAAAGGCATCGATTTTATGTCAAAAGCTAGTAACATCAGAGGAGATATAGCAGAATTCAATTTTGTTTTCGGATTGTAAGAGCTTTCGGTTGAACTAAATCTGAGAACTGACATCAACTGTTAGAAAATCTACCTGGCTATCAGATGCTGTCTCCAAAATTATAATACTGAAAGAATACTTTCAGTAATTTTCATTTCAGTAAAAAGATATAAAAATTTCATCTAGATAAAAGATTGTGTTCGTATGGAAACCTAGCTTTTCAAATTTAAATAAAGGCTATATTATTGTATTTTATGAACATGAAGAATGTATTTTGACAGATTATTTTACAAAAAGGGTAGAATGTTAATGTTTTCAACAACCACAAATGTAAAACTGTTACAAATGACAAATGACCGTGTTAGTTGGTTTACTACGTGTTCTGATAATTTCCCTCCATGTGTGTGCACTACGCAAAGCCAGTAGATTGGTATTCCACATTGTCCACAAGGTTAGCAAACGACTTTGACTCATATTAAGGATTAATAGTCTCTCAGTTAGCAAACACATTCCCTACCATTCACGATACCTTAAAGTTCATTCCACTGTTAACATAAACCGACCAATGGAACGTACCCAGTCAACATAACCTCACATTGTTTAGAAATATTCATTTGCTCACGGGTCTCACGAATTTCCTCTGCCCTCCAAGTTTTCCAAACTATAATTTTGTATGAATTTCTCATACCTCCCATCAGTTCAAATATCCTCCCCAACAAAATGTCCTCAAACACCATGGAAAACGTATTACTATATCCACATACACGCAAACATAAATTCAATATCCACCGTAAGATATATATTTGTGTTTCAAAATATAACAAAAAAACCTCTCAAATCCAAAGAATTTTCACGTTCTACGGGATTCCGTCATAAGTTATCTGTATTACATAAAACGGACAATGTTTTAGTGTCATTTAAGGATCGACGTTTCTGCTTTGCTTTCTGTCTCCATCATCAGGGCGGTAGCCTTCGTGGAGAAAACAAGAACCTCTCAAACGTCGATTAACTTTTACCAGACTACACGGCGAAATAACCCAGAATATAACCTTCTTCATTACCTAATCAGGTCAAATATTTAATAATAATAAAAAAAAATTATATACTTCGAGTAAATCACGTATAACACGAAAATAAATATATAATCAGGCTATAGCATTTCTGTGACACGTTTCGTTATCTGACCTATGCACAAAACTCTGATACCCGAATTTGCTGACGGTTGGCTGGTTGCCCGGGGGCACCCGCTAGCTGAGCGGCTCACCCCCATGGGTTCTGAGCCCATAACTCTTCTCCAGCTCCCATTTAGTCGCCCGGGCCAAGCTGTATGGGTTGATTCTCGACAGAGCAGGGGTGAACAAGGCGTTCAATTTACTTACGATCTACACGCAGTAATGCATTAAGAGGATGTTGTGCTTCGGTTTTAGGCCACGTTGAATATTGATATAAGGCTTCGAACATCTAAATATTCACCCTGAAGATGGCAACTGCATAAAAGGACAGCTTCGGCTAGGAATGTAACCTACAAAAACTACACATTGCACTTTTTCTAACGCACTGGCACGTTCGCGTGTCATATTTTAATGCATAAACCACCGTCCAGATGGCAGGATAACGCAGGTCGTTTGTCTACTTAGAGAGCAGTGTTTGTACTGTGTCGGGATGTTCTGAATTTTTGTTCGTATTTAAATTTAGCACTTCTCCAAACTGTGTAACAGTACCGAGGTTTTCCTCAGCCCTGTTCCACCACCTCACTGGATTATGATACCTCATATTACTACGCCAATATTAAACTTCTATTAACAAATATCTTCTTTTATAATTACGTGTTTCAGCGATTAGTAATGGAAAAAATTTTCATATTTCTTTGTATTTTTTACATAGACCTACTTCCCCCTTTTTGAAAATATACATCCGTAATCTTAAAATTTGAATGTCAATCTTGTCGTTAAAACACACTTTCGTTAAATACTGATGCCGTTGATGTTTTATGAGCTCCAACATATATAAGAACCAGCAAATTATATAAATAAAAAGTGTGATTATTAACAACAGGCAGCACGCTTTTAAACGCCGGCATTTTCAAAAACAGATTGCACAAAAAGTTAATCATAACCTAATAAATATTTACTTAACAAATACCTCCCCATAATTGCATCGTGAACTGAATTTCATATATTACTGTTGATTTTCTTTTAAATTTAAGATCCAGACCACAACTACGAAGGAAAATAATAAATACGAACATCGTCACTGAATACGAAACGTTCTACGAACGACGAGAGAACCATGCTTCTGCTTGTCACTTGGTTGAAGACGTCTGCCATCGCTCACCACTGAAAACGTTTCCGAGCGAGAAGCAGCTACCATGACGAGGTCATGGACCCTTGATAAATGATTTAAGAGGTGGTGTAAGTCTGTACTTCTCGTGGGGACAAAAATTCTCTTTCCACATCAGACAGGGACGAAGGTAAGTGGTGAAATAAAAACGAAAAATCTCGATTACCTGTTCCACGTTTTGAAAACCAGACAAATATGTAAGAGCTTCTCCTAACCTCAAATATATTACTTTACACTTTCACAAACATTCAAACTACGAATTATTATACGCATTTGGTAAGACCTCCTTGGATGAATTATCTACCTACACGGGACAACACTACACATAAAACTAAAATAAACATCCATGCATTGAGTAGGATTCAAACCCATAACCCTAGCGTCCGAACAATCAACACCGCACGGCCACTTGAACTCGTCTAAGCAAAATAATTTTATTCAGATACGAGAAACCATGTACATGTATCAGCGCCAAAATGACGAATGACGGGAACAGAAATTCAGCGTTGAATCTTCTGGGTCCAAAACTGGTAGAAACTATCACAGAAATTTTCCTGTGGGTTCGTGACGGCCTCAATTACGAAGTAACGAGCATTTATCAAGAGAGGCGTAAATTAGAAATGCTCAGGGGGAGACGAGAAAGCTAAAGGTAAAATAGCTCCCATAAGCGGATGTCAAGACAAGAGACACATAAGAAGCAATTTGAGCAATAATGTTGACTTTGTATGCACAAACTTAATGGGTTAAATGAGGTGAAAGTAAATTACTTTTGAAAAAAGTGCGGAGGAGGGGGAAATTTTTAAGAGAAAGAAGAAACAGTGGAATTCTGGTAAACGAGCGTAGCTTATAAACTAGCAGTTATGGTCCCATCACTGTTATTAGGGTATGCTCGGTATAGAAGTTATTTTGTCTGTCTGAGATTTAAATTTTTCATCAAGTTACGGATGCCAATTAAGTTATTTTGTCTGTCTGAGATTTAAACTTTTCATCAAGTTACGGATGTCAGTCGTCGTTTGCTGAATTCTGATGTCATGCAGTCTGCTGATATGATTCCATTCAATAATAACCTACTGTAATTTATATTGAAATCATCGTACACTACCGCAAATTTCAATTGTACCAAATAACTTTCCTGAAATACTTTTTTCAAAAATGTAATTTAACATTTTCATATAACTTCAAATACTCCAAACTAGGTTGCAGCACCATGCAGACCAACAAACAATTCATTTTCATAACTCAGTGAATATAGGCAAATGTCGCGACAGAGATCATTTCTTGATGCAGATTAAAGCCAAACGTCGAGCTACGCAGTAACGGACGCGTCTTCCGATTCAGTCAAACATTGCAACAAAAGGATTAAAATGTAGCGCCGTCAAAACAAAAATTTAACAAAACTGCGTGAATTTTATGCTTAGAGGAAGACGTTAATTGACGAACGTAACTCTGGGGCACGGCCGTTGACAGACGGTAAAAAGCCGCGTTCATAAATTACATTCTTAATCCTAATTTTCAAAGTTTAAAATAAGCAGAATTTTATTTAAAGTCTCATCCTACCTTCACGATCACCCTCCTCGCCGCTTCGATCCCATAAATGTTTGCGATTTGATGAATATCGTTTGAATACAGTCGGTTGAGGTCGAGAAGCTTATCATATTTAAACATTTCCTGAAAATATAAAATTAACAAATATAATCCTGGGGTCCCGGGTTCGATTCCCGGCGGTGTCCGAATTTATAACTTGTGTTGGGCAAGGCCGTGGTCTTGGCAACACGGGGTTTTCCTCCGGGGCTTCCCCGGTTTCTCCATACTCACAGAAGAAGGCAATGGCAAACCACTTCTGTATCGCTTGCCTAAAAAACGTATATGAACAGGTCCCAGTCCGAGAAAAGGATGGAAGCATCCTGTTCATAATATGTCGCCAATCGACTGTAAAGGAGACGGTGTAATAAAGAAGAAGATATATGGTGAATAACAAATAGTACAAATTTCCATATAGTGTAATTCACACGACCAACAGTTATGTACATTTTGTTAACTTCAGCTTTGTGGGATAATCGATGTCGAACGCTGGCAATTATCCAACGTTTCGGCTAAAAATTTCTCGACCGCCCGAATGACTATTACGCCACAGTAACGTAACAGCTTACATACGAGAATTCACCAAGTCAGACACTCTGGATTTTTAAAATCTATTTATACCTCTTCTTTAAACTTTAAATACTGCCTTAAATTTTGAACTTAAACATGAAGAAAAAAACATTGAGCTACATAATTCTGGATATAGAAATGAAATTTAAAATGCAGTATTTACCTGGAAGTTGATTCCTTCTGTCTTTAGCGACAGATTTTGTGCGTTTGGGTTAACATACGTAATGGCTCTTTTGAGCGAGGGTATTTCCCAAATGACTGAATTAGCAGCCACTTCTCTCAGCAAATCCGTTAAATCAAGCCTCTTATAATGCAATGGCACCTGCAAACAACAAATAAACGACGATTAAAATGAAAAACAATTAACGTGATCAGAGCAAATGAGATGGACCCAATCTGAAGGCCGTGCGACCCCCACTGCTACTGAACTCCCCTCTCTCAGCTTGCACGTCGCGCATTTAGGTGCCATGACTACTCGCGCGACCCACACAGTACACACTTCTTTAAGTTTGTAAGCTACAAAAACTGTTGTGACTCATCACCCTGATGATGGAGGCAAGAATGACCTCTGAAACATTGAAAAACTTCTACCAGACTACACGGCGCTACTAAAACCCAGAAGACGCCATGTTCAAAATGTTACTTATTTCAAACACACTTCAAAATTAAATTTGCAATAGAAGTTCACAAAGTTTGGTTCCTTCCTTGGTTGACGCCACCCAAAAGTCAATCAGATCATAGAATTACATCAAACAAAGAAACAACAGACACAAAGAGAAGAACCAGGAAAGCGAATGAAGATTTTACATATTAATAATTAAATTATGGGGGTCCGCAGTGGCCGCGCGGTCTGAGGCGTGGGCCTTGTGCCGCTTGGTCGCTGGGACCATGGGTTCAAATCCCACTCAAGCCATGGATGTTTGTCTGCGTTATCCCGTGTTGTGCTCTCCTGTGTACAGGTAGAGGCCTTGCGACGGGCCGATCCCTCGTCCAAGGAGTCCTACCGAATGTCTATAGATCGAGCCAACGAAAAGATGGGGACCCATAAAGGGTACCGGAAAATGTATAAACATTGTTAAACCGGAAATAATAGAAGAAGAAGAAGAATTAAATTATCACAGTTTAAGAACTGTCTATAGTGAAAATTAATTAAACATTTAGTGTAAGGTCACTCTACCTACGTCCTAGCTTAACATAATTATATTAAAAACAAGGCATATTTACCGCTAACTTCAATTTACACCACAGTTCTTGTTCAGTATCGTAATCGTAATCCACTATGTACTCCATTGACGAAATCACTCTTTTCACCCTAGCCTCGTACGTGAGTACATTCACATTCTTGGGCATCTGAAATAAAGACGGTAACAAAGTAAGCTCGCATCTGATTGCTTTTACGACTCAAGAGGTACAAAGGAAAACCACTCACTCCAGTTGCTTTAATATAATACAAAGTTTCGGTTCAAACGTTGAACCTCTCGAATATGAAGCAGTACTAACAACCATACAGATGCAAAATAACTCCAAGCTTGGTCTACATCGTAGTAAGAGGGGTTATAGGGGGAGCGTGACAGCAAACGGTCTGCCCAAGTATGTAGACTGGACTTACATCCTGAAGGAGAGGTATTTCACTGTCAGCTTCCAACATATCATCATCATCCAGATCATCGTTATCCTCATGTTCATGACGCATCCTGTCAGAATCATGTTCGCCTTCGGCTAAGTTGTGCAGAGAACTATCGTCCATCAATTTGTCAACTCCTTCCTCACTCTCGGCTTCCTCCATCCCCTCGTCTGCAGCTAAAATATAAAAAGAGGCAATTGTTTATTCAAAAAGATGCATTTAAACACTTAATGTTATCACGGCTGATGCTAGCAATTGGCACCTCTGCAAGACATTTACATTCGCACAATGAAGTTCAGGCCATCATGTTCTGTGATTTACTAGCACGCTTCGAAAAATTCTCACCTCAGACTTGATCATAACAAATCCGCAGAAGCTCGGTGCAGTTAATTCCTTCGATGAATTGGCCAATTTAAACTACTGGCAGCATCTTAACACTCCATATAAATGGTAAATATAAAGATATCGATGTCCCTAAGCACCGCTAACTAACCTTTCCCATACGCAGTGTTCCTAACATTTATCCAATTCAAATACTCATTCACGGTCGGAAACTTTACATTTAAAAAACGGTTAACGTACATTTATCATACATCGCGACATCTTCTTCGACCTCCTCCTCCTCTGGTTCCTCATATTCTTGATTTTCCATGTGCCTCTGTCTATTGCGGGCCGTGGTAGCATCATCATCTTCACCCTAAAACAAAAGAACATACATGAGGGGCGACATCCGCCCGATTCATAATTTGTTACATCAGTCACAAGCATAGAGCGAGGAGCCCTTGTTTCTGCAGTAAAATCTCAATATATAAGAATGCACCGTAAAAGTAGAACTGTCGGCAAAAAAAACTGTAGAACATGCAATATTCACGCAAAATTTGGTAACTAAATTATGCAGAAAAATTTAGATAACTGTGTAAAAATGTTTCGATAAGGAAACTACGCATCGTGAAACTCTCATGATTACATAACAATTCCCAGTATTTCCCTCATTATATTCTAGCTATTACACTTACATAAATAATATAATACAAATCTGTTTCTCCACCTTACCTCTTGTTCTTCGTCAGAGCTCTCGTGCTCTTCGCCAACACCAGCCTTCTTCGCTCTGTCCACCAAATCGTGATCTGACTGCACTTCCGGGACATTTTCTGGATCAACATTTTCATCATTAGCGTCTTCATTATTTGACGACTTTGATTTCTCAACCTGAATGCTAATGAACAAACCAAAATAATTTATTATATAAATAAAACCGACATTATTTCCCTTGTTAAATAGACTACGTAACAGGGATAATCAGTCACCACTGCAAAACCCTAATTCATTCTATTCTTAGTTCAGACAGCATTTTATACTCTGAATTTAAAGCGATGAGATTTCAAGTTGCATGATTTTGAGTTTAGTGACCAGTCTTGGGAAAACAATTATCATGTGAATTAAAGGGTAAATATAAATTTTATATTAACAACTGTCCTGATAAAAGACTTCCACCATTTTAAAACGCTTCCAGCATGAACCGCCACACAGGTGCTTCATATCATATCTGTACCAACCCAAGCGTTATGAACATTTCTAAATTAATATTTGTTAATTTTTATATTGCTGTGATCTTCCAGCCAATTGGTATATACCAATTTATAACTTTGATCGTGTTGAAGCATTAACACGTAAAAATCTGTAAATTAGGTTTTATTGTGATACTTACACAGAACCCCTGAATTTCATTTTTTTTCTCAAGGCATAAAAGATGTTCTTAAAAAACTGTGTCTCGGCATACTGCAGAACGTATGAGGGCGTTACACAAAACCTGGACTTATAGGCTTCGTGTGGAAGAAAATGGAACTGCATATAGTAAGTCTGCATCCTAAAACACAGATAAAAATATTTTGACATATACAGTCAAACCTCGGTTCACGAACGCCGCGGATCACGAACAATTCAGTTTACAAACAAATTTTCCGAACACAAAGCGTCTCGGATGACGTACTGTGTCTCGAGTTACGAACACGCAAGCCGTCAACATCGTGGAGCGATAAGCTGGGAGTATCAGCGTCGGCAGTATTCTTAGAAGAATGATCCAGCATGGGGCCAAAGCAGCAAAGTGAAAAGAAAAAATACCAATATCATGATAGACGTTAAGAAAGAAATCATAGCCAAACATGAAAATGGTGTTCGTGTCTCTGCTCTTGCTACTTCTTTGATCCGTGAAATTTGTGCAAAATGGGGTGAGGTGCAAAGTTTCGTGGAACGATATCACCCCAATAAAGCAGTAGCAAGCTGCAGCATAAACATTTTCAATGATAATGCCATGTGTCACTTTAGAAACATTTTAAAACGTAGACAAAAACAAATCACACTGGACAACTTTTTAGTGAGACAGAGGCCCAGTGAGTCTGATGCAGAGTCGAGTGGTGCCAAGAGACAGAAAAAAGAAAAAGTATCCCCTTCCAAACAATAACATTTCACTTCCTCACCACCTTCCACTTACGCCGTCAACCCTCCTCCATACAGGTACGGTAAAACTAAATTAAGTTTTCGTCTACATTTGATCTGCTTAGTGTTGTGTTTATCTTTTTTGTGATATATTTAATGATTTCCATTGATTTTGTGTTAAGAACTTGTGCACAAAGTACTGTTGTAAAATTTTAAATAAGCAATCATCTTGGGTCCAGGAACAGATTAATCCATTTTACATTAATTCCTATGGGGAAAATAGTTTCGGTTTACGAACATTTCGGTCTACGAACGACCTTCAGGAACAAATGAAGTTCGTGAACCGAGGTTTGACTGTATTACGATTCTAAAATATTCACAGGAAAACAAAGACAAGACGGTAAATACAGAAATACACAAAATGGCCGAAGAGAAATCACTAAAAATTAAATTAAAGGTGATAGACTGAAGTGGTTTAGAACATGAAAATTTACCAAACATAGCAGTAAAACAAGAAACAAATATAACAAATCTAAAACTTCTTGACAATGGTGAAGAGTCAATTGAATAAAAATTTACTTGGATATTATCCATCGTCTAGTAATAAAACGTAAAAAACATAAAACGACGTTTCGGAGATGGGGCTCTATCTCCGTCTTCAGGTTCCTACTAGGTACGGAGATAGGGATTAGCTCTATCTAGTGGGCCCAACTGAGTAGGAACCTGAAGACGGAGATAGAGCCCCATCTCCGAAACGTCGTTTTACGTTTTTTACGTTTTATTACTAGACGATGGATAATATCCAAGTAAATTTTTATTCAATTAAACAAATATAAGATGAATATATAAGCCAAAAGAAAGCTGACATAATGAAGCAAGGAGAGATACAGTGAGGTATTAAGAGCACGTGGATGGATAAATGAAAAGAAATTCAACACGACTGTTTATGCAGAAACAGAAGCAAGAGGTAGACGTTTAAGATGAAAGTAAAGACTATTTTCCAATTAAATTCTTTTTTTCATCACAAGTAGTTCCCCAGAGTTCAGTCTTACGATGTAATAACATCTGTATGTATGAAATTCACACGAACATATCTGAAAGTGCTCCACATCTGAATGTTTTCATTTATGTTCTGTCTTTAATCAGCAGACTCTCCTGGCCTATGGAAAACAGCATAAATATGGCAGCAAAGAAGTGCAAATGGCTCAAACACTGTGTTAAACACTCCATTACCTGGAAGGATAAATCTCCAACTTATCCGTCACATCGACGCAGCTCAACACATCAGAAACCGTTACTCGGCAAAGCTTCAGTTTCAGCCGCTCAGCTTTATTCTTTAAATGATGTACATCTGGCAGAAATGGAACGTCCATGTTCGGAGTCTTGATATTTTTTGAAGCGGTCATGAGCAGCTCACGCAATCGAGGTATGCCAAGTGTAACGTTCATCTCACCTCGTCCAGCAAAGTGGAATGTATTGAGAGTCATTTGGGTAGATGGCTCTCCTATAGACTGAAATAAAAAAAGAACAGATGAGCATTTTATCAACACCAGAATAAAACTTACATACAGTGTTTGCAACATAAAGTTCCACATACAAATACCTCCGTACATATTTTAATTGTAAAGTACAGGCGGACCCCAACTTACAAACATAATGTGTTCTTTGAAATGTGTTTGTAAGTTGAATTTATTTTTTCCATAAGATATATGGTTAAATTTGAACTTTGCGCGTCGTAAAATGTTTGTAAGCGCAGGGTTCTGTGTTTGTTAGATAAATTGGGAGTCACAATTTATTAGTCTGTGCAATGTTCGTTTCTTGAAAGTTCGTAAGTAGAGGTTCGCATGTACCATGCTATCCAACTCACAAAGGATCTTCTATTTTAAAAACCTTCGTTTCATCTACACATCACATAACCTAACCTTTAAAGGACACATTCCCAAATCTTAACAGCCTATTATGTGTCACACTTTACATTCTGGCTATCATATATTAAGGACATAATTTTAATTAACATTTATCAAACAAAAGCAAAAATTTTGACCCACTATACAGCCGCTACATACATAAATACAAACACGCACATACATTAACGCTACTTAAAAAAAAATTAGGTTCGCACAGTGAAGATGTCATTCGTGGTCTTATGAGTTCTCGTGTGTTCTTCACCCTAAAGATGGCGGTAAAAGAATCCTCTGAAATGCTGGTAACCACCTACAAGACCGCACAGTACTACAACCCCAATGACTATGACTGCCGGCTGCTATTTTGCTTACCTGAGCTGCCAGCAGTCCTACTGGCTCCCCTGGATCTGAATGAGACTGCAGCGATTTTACAAACATCATTTCACAAAACTCATGCTTTGTTTTCGATGGTCTGTTCTTCAAATAATCATTCATAAGCTGCTCCAGTTTCTCTGTAAGAGCCCCAAACTCACGATAACAACGAAAATATGCAGTGACAGGATCAGGGCACTTCAGACCTACAGAGCTGTATCTGAAAGCAAAAATAAAATAATTTCAGTTGCTATAAGAATACGTCACATACCAAACGCACTCAAGGGGCCGCGACAGTAAAATCAGCTACCATATATACATAATACCTTCTTCTATGGGCACTACAGTCCACGATGAACCTTGGCCTCTTTCACGATTCCTCGCCATTGGTCCCGATCCCACGTCTTTCATCTCCAATTTCTAACGCCCGTTGTCAACTGAATACAGCCACCTGATAGTAGGTCTGCCTGCTCATCAAGTGCCCTCTGGTTTATGTAGAGTTAACTTCCTGTAAGGGTTCTGCTCCTGATATACATTATACCACTGTATCAAAAATACATTTACCTTTCCAGAGTCTCTGAGTCGGCATCTCTCCAAAGACTGCAGATTTCTTCGGCACGTTTAGATCGCCCAGTCTTCTTGTTCAATTTCTTCGATTTCTGCGAACCCGATTTCTGTACGTCGACAGAAAACGTGGTGAAAGGGGTCGTTCTGTTCTTCTGAAAGGGGCTTCCATTCTTTTTTACCCATTTCCGAATCTGAAAACATATAATCACTCTATCAGCAGTCTAAACTTAATAGTTCTTCTAAAGACATTGTTTTGATTATTTTGGTGTTGTAGTCTAGTCCACGTTAATTCTGCAAAAATTTGAGGGTGACACAATTTATTGTGCTTCAGTAATTTTTATTAATAAAGTACAAGTATTTTCACTGAAAAACACATGTCGCTTATGAACAAAATCCCTGGGCATGCAGTCATCACACTTAAAAGAAAAATATTTGTCAACTTAATTTTCATTCTCTTTACAACACGATAATATTTAACCATGTCAATTTTCATTAATTACCTTTCTCTTACACTTTGCTATGTGGGATGACGTTTTGTCATCCTGGAGCATTTCCAAAGGAACATTTTTGATTGCTTTACAGTTCTCTGAAAGGAAAGGAATTTGCTTCTCCTTCATAAATTGGGCTTTCATAACATCTCTTCCATCCTCCCCATAGCAGAACTGTTGAAAAAAAGATAAAAAGATAATTATCAGATAACTCAAGGCAAAAATATCTCAAGAACAAAATGGCGATGACCTGGATTTCAAAGGATCTGCCAAAAAACAATTATGTAGAAAAAATAACTACCATGAAAGTTTCTGAATATCAACATTGTGCAAATATTTTAAATTATTTTCTCAATATGTATTTGTGTAATTTATATTCATTTTGTTCACAGCTGATTGATAATCAAGGAATACGATTTGAAATGTGAATATTAATTTTTTTTTAAAAAAACAATAAAAATAGTTTTTCATAATAAAGTTTGTGATTCCTTTCGGCATATAGTATAATAAATCTTGTTCTTTTTTTAATCCGAAAAGAATGATCTTACTTCCAAAAATAAACAAAAAATTCTCTAATTTAAAAACATTATTTTCCATTAATTATCCATTAACGCCAATCTGTATCTTACACGAAATAGCTTGGAAATCTCAGGATGTGATGTCAGGTAACGGCACGGCATAAAAGGGACTAAGTTCTTGGCCCTCAGGAAGACAATATACGGGGTTTAAAGAAGAAAAGAATTACAATTTTTAAATTAAGCTTCTGTAGAAGCAATCCACAGGGCTATGCCACGTGTTCTTACTCAGATTACCTGAACGACACTTCCATCGCTGTCTCTGACAGACAAATCATAGCGAACCACTAAGCCTTCCAAGTGTTTAACCAAGCATCGCTGAAGATACCCACTCCTGCTTGTTTTAACAGCTGTATCAATCAAACCCTGCAAACAAGTAATGGGCAACACTAATTCTCAGAACAATGTAATATATCGCCTTCACTGTCGTTAAATATTGGTGTACTTTCAACTTTTCACAAAGAGAAACCAACTGCAATCCTCATTTTCAAAAATGAATAAAGGAAGAAATAAAATAAATACAGCATTTCATCCTTACCTCTCTGCCAGCCATGCAATGGAAGTAAAACTCCTGTGGCTTTATACCAGTCATAAATCGTCCATCCACAAAACCCCCTGCTCTTGGAGTAACATCATATCTAGTGAAACTCGGCAGGGTCTTCCCAGACGCCATGTGTGGCGGTCGTCTGCCTTCCAACTCTATTTGACCCAATAGGCCGGAGATCTGCATGGCATTTACGGTAGAGCCCTTAGCCCCAGACTGAATCATAAGTTGTAAGTTGTTGTACGGGAAACTTTTCAGAAGTCCGTTAGGAATGCAAGCCCTGTCGTGAAATATAAAAGCTGGACTTCAATCAAATACGTAAACCATCAAATTCACTCAACATATTTAAACGAGGTTCTTTTGTCTGTTCAGTATCCATTAATTCTTTATGTGGTCTTGTGTTGTGACACCAATTAGTCTCATAGGTGGTAACTGTCTGCATCTTCAGGGTTCAAAACTGAAGAGACAGGTGATATGTCCCTCTGAAACATTGAAAACCATCTACAAGACCACTAAGTATCACAAACACATCTTCACTGTAAAAACCTCAAAGTTCGTGTGTACGTTTACTGATCAACTACAGTACACCGCATGAAAAACTGTGTAATCAAATACATTAAAATTAATTTACATTTCCCGTTAGTTATCTCTCTATAATACAAAATACAGGGCATGCAATGCTGAGTATAGTGTCAATGAACAAAACAGTAATAGAAGAGTACAAGTTAAATGCAACGTTTTCAAAAGTAAGTGCTATCGAATACAAAACTAGACATAGTTGTCTGGAAGTTATCAATTACTCCAGACAGTTTCTTCATTGAAACAAAGTTTAATTCCAAAATTAAAAGTTCAAAATTGTTTTTTTCAGACTTTGGAAAATTAGACTTATTACCCTATGTAAATGTATTTTGACTTTGTGGTTCAAACTGTGCACAGTTTCATTATTAGAGTTTATAACCAAAAATGTTCGTACTTGTTTATTTTATTGGTGATGTTGTCAAGCATGCTTTTGTACGAACTGTCGATCATTGCTCTCCCTCTATTGTAGTTTTGGTATACGTCTTCCATTTTTTCTTTTATCTCGCTTCGTGTTGCGGTTTTCGGCAGGTCAACTGCAGATCGCACAGCCTTGTTGCCAACCTATAAAAAATGTATTTTATTTATTTATAGTTTATTTAACAACACTTTTCAATAACTCAGACCATATAGCATGAAAATGATTCATTGTCAGGACTTTTTCCATCGTCTGTTCTTTAAAACCATGATGTTTGCTGACAGAATCTGTACTTGGGTGGATACGTTAAATAATTGTATGATTTATATTGTCCACTGACAGAGACTAGCTCTATCTAAGAGACCCAACAGAGTAGGTACCTCTCACCTGAAGACGGAGACAGAAGAACAGACGACGGAAAAAGTCCTGACAATGAATAATTTCAAGTGTAAATTACCGTTGTCAAAATCCTTTAGAATTGAATGAAATAACAGGATGATGGTGAATAATGAATTGGAAACGATGTGGAAGGAAGCAGTCATGGCCTAGTTTAAGGTACTATCATCGCATTTGCCTGAGGAAAACCACAAAAAACCTCAGTCAGGATGGCTCATCTCTGGGCTAAGTATAAAGAATTTAAAAGAAAATTATGTTAATGAACATATCTTTTTATAATTCTTTGTTTGATTTTCACTTTCAACAAGGTTACACAAGGATATACACTATTGTGACGGACAGTTTACTTACATTTCTCATATCTACAGAATATTTTTCTTATAAATGCAAAAATTCTGGTCGTTCATGAACTTGGTATTAAGATTGTTAATACAAATAGGTCAGAAAAATTTCAGTGTAAGTGAATCATGGAACAGTTTGCACAAATGCAAAGAAAATTATCTTACATTTATACACAGTCATTTATAAGACAGATATAAACGCATTATTCAGCTACCTTTTACAGTATTTCTGCAACAACACTCACCTTTCTTCCACGAGAGATGAAGTGTATTCTTTGTTCTTCAGCAGCCTTTACCACCAAAATGTCTTCAACACCAAGTGAGAAACCGTTTCTTTGAAGAAATGAAGTGAATAATTTTGAAAACGCTGTCAACAGTACACTTGAACAACTTCCTCCATACAACTAAAAAAACAAATTAAATTACAAGATTACGAACAATGATTTTCATATTTCGTAACCCTAATTAGCCATTACAATTATGTGTTATTATTAGTACACATCGTCCAGAAGTGAATAAGTTAAACAAGTGAAAAATTATATACTCCGCTAAACTATAAGTTAAATTAAATATTTTAATTTATTTTACCGTTATGTGGACAGTTTCTGAATGCCATTCAGATTCTTTCACTGCTAGTTCTAACAGCACGTAACAGAGCAAATTTTCTGCGTATTGTTACAGGCTACCGATTGGATTAAACTGGGGATCCTTCATTTACTAAAGATTGTTCAGCACAAACAAAATTGGATTTCCTTAACAAAATTTACTTTGACTTACTAAAATTAAATCTTTGCGACATCAATTTACACAGCAAAACATAGAGAAACTGAAATTTTAATTCACACATAAAAAGAGTATTTAAATTAACTAATATAATACTGATAGGACGCACTGAATTTAAATATGACAAGGTGTCGAAATTCGTTAAAATTAATTTAGAAACACTGAAATTAGATAATATGCACTTCCTTTTTAACTTTAATACTCACACTTGGACTAAATATACCCAGTTAAAAATTTAATCTGCTAGCACAATCCTTGAATCTGATATACATTTTAATGTACGTTCAATTCAGACACATCTTAATTAACCAAAATTATATTTTAGGATATCCCATATATAAATGTAGTAACATTCACTACTTTGTTCTTGGAGTAATTATAGCATATGATTATAGAAACACATCCCTGCTACACTAAAAAATCATACTTTTTGAACAGATAAATTCTGTGATGGTTGGGCATTTTTGTACTAGTGCTAATTCATTACCTTTAATACAAGTACAAAATTCTTAAAGTTTAAAGTGTAGGATTACTATTTACAGCACTTCTACCAACTACACAGCCCGTTACTCATTTTAAAGACCACGTTACCTCATTCATGCAATGAATCAATCCATAAGGCGTAGCACCATAATGGGTTTTATCTAGAACACCACACAAAAGTTCTCCTTTTCGAATTATCACTTCTGCTTCGGACATTGTATTTGAATCATTAAATGGGGTTCCTCCTGCCTGCCATACCCTAGGCTCCTCGACCATCCATGACTGGAAAAAATACACAACAGACGCTCAACAGAAACCCACACAAAGGAATCAAACTTGGACAGAAAAGTGCCCACAGTATATAATTCATGAATACCGTAATCCACTAGCACTGGTTAACGATCTGTTTTATTTGCTGGAAATAATGATGTGTAACGTAATTTTAAAACACGAAATAGCTTGGAAATCTCAGGATGTGATGTCAGGTAACGGCACGGCATAAAAGGGACTAAGTTCTTGGCCCTCAGGAAGACAATATACGGGGTTTAAAGAAGAAAAGAATTACAATTTTTAAATTAAGCTTCTGTAGAAGCAATCCACAGGGCTATGCCACGTGTTCTTACTCAGATTACCTGAACGACACTTCCATCGCTGTCTCTGACAGACAAATCATAGCGAACCACTAAGCCTTCCAAGTGTTTAACCAAGCATCGCTGAAGATACCCACTCCTGCTTGTTTTAACAGCTGTATCAATCAAACCCTGCAAACAAGTAATGGGCAACACTAATTCTCAGAACAATGTAATATATCGCCTTCACTGTCGTTAAATATTGGTGTACTTTCAACTTTTCACAAAGAGAAACCAACTGCAATCCTCATTTTCAAAAATGAATAAAGGAAGAAATAAAATAAATACAGCATTTCATCCTTACCTCTCTGCCAGCCATGCAATGGAAGTAAAACTCCTGTGGCTTTATACCAGTCATAAATCGTCCATCCACAAAACCCCCTGCTCTTGGAGTAACATCATATCTAGTGAAACTCGGCAGGGTCTTCCCAGACGCCATGTGTGGCGGTCGTCTGCCTTCCAACTCTATTTGACCCAATAGGCCGGAGATCTGCATGGCATTTACGGTAGAGCCCTTAGCCCCAGACTGAATCATAAGTTGTAAGTTGTTGTACGGGAAACTTTTCAGAAGTCCGTTAGGAATGCAAGCCCTGTCGTGAAATATAAAAGCTGGACTTCAATCAAATACGTAAACCATCAAATTCACTCAACATATTTAAACGAGGTTCTTTTGTCTGTTCAGTATCCATTAATTCTTTATGTGGTCTTGTGTTGTGACACCAATTAGTCTCATAGGTGGTAACTGTCTGCATCTTCAGGGTTCAAAACTGAAGAGACAGGTGATATGTCCCTCTGAAACATTGAAAACCATCTACAAGACCACTAAGTATCACAAACACATCTTCACTGTAAAAACCTCAAAGTTCGTGTGTACGTTTACTGATCAACTACAGTACACCGCATGAAAAACTGTGTAATCAAATACATTAAAATTAATTTACATTTCCCGTTAGTTATCTCTCTATAATACAAAATACAGGGCATGCAATGCTGAGTATAGTGTCAATGAACAAAACAGTAATAGAAGAGTACAAGTTAAATGCAACGTTTTCAAAAGTAAGTGCTATCGAATACAAAACTAGACATAGTTGTCTGGAAGTTATCAATTACTCCAGACAGTTTCTTCATTGAAACAAAGTTTAATTCCAAAATTAAAAGTTCAAAATTGTTTTTTTCAGACTTTGGAAAATTAGACTTATTACCCTATGTAAATGTATTTTGACTTTGTGGTTCAAACTGTGCACAGTTTCATTATTAGAGTTTATAACCAAAAATGTTCGTACTTGTTTATTTTATTGGTGATGTTGTCAAGCATGCTTTTGTACGAACTGTCGATCATTGCTCTCCCTCTATTGTAGTTTTGGTATACGTCTTCCATTTTTTCTTTTATCTCGCTTCGTGTTGCGGTTTTCGGCAGGTCAACTGCAGATCGCACAGCCTTGTTGCCAACCTATAAAAAATGTATTTTATTTATTTATAGTTTATTTAACAACACTTTTCAATAACTCAGACCATATAGCATGAAAATGATTCATTGTCAGGACTTTTTCCATCGTCTGTTCTTTAAAACCATGATGTTTGCTGACAGAATCTGTACTTGGGTGGATACGTTAAATAATTGTATGATTTATATTGTCCACTGACAGAGACTAGCTCTATCTAAGAGACCCAACAGAGTAGGTACCTCTCACCTGAAGACGGAGACAGAACTAGCCTCTGAAACGTCGTGGTTTTAAAGAACAGACGACAGAAAAAGTCCTGACAATGAATAATTTCAAGTGTAAATTACCGTTGTCAAAATCCTTTAGAATTGAATGAAATAACAGGATGATGGTGAATAATGAATTGGAAACGATGTGGAAGGAAGCAGTCATGGCCTAGTTTAAGGTACTATCATCGCATTTGCCTGAGGAAAACCACAAAAAACCTCAGTCAGGATGGCTCATCTCTGGGCTAAGTATAAAGAATTTAAAAGAAAATTATGTTAATGAACATATCTTTTTATAATTCTTTGTTTGATTTTCACTTTCAACAAGGTTACACAAGGATATACACTATTGTGACGGACAGTTTACTTACATTTCTCATATCTACAGAATATTTTTCTTATAAATGCAAAAATTCTGGTCGTTCATGAACTTGGTATTAAGATTGTTAATACAAATAGGTCAGAAAAATTTCAGTGTAAGTGAATCATGGAACAGTTTGCACAAATGCAAAGAAAATTATCTTACATTTATACACAGTCATTTATAAGACAGATATAAACGCATTATTCAGCTACCTTTTACAGTATTTCTGCAACAACACTCACCTTTCTTCCACGAGAGATGAAGTGTATTCTTTGTTCTTCAGCAGCCTTTACCACCAAAATGTCTTCAACACCAAGTGAGAAACCGTTTCTTTGAAGAAATGAAGTGAATAATTTTGAAAACGCTGTCAACAGTACACTTGAACAACTTCCTCCATACAACTAAAAAAACAAATTAAATTACAAGATTACGAACAATGATTTTCATATTTCGTAACCCTAATTAGCCATTACAATTATGTGTTATTATTAGTACACATCGTCCAGAAGTGAATAAGTTAAACAAGTGAAAAATTATATACTCCGCTAAACTATAAGTTAAATTAAATATTTTAATTTATTTTACCGTTATGTGGACAGTTTCTGAATGCCATTCAGATTCTTTCACTGCTAGTTCTAACAGCACGTAACAGAGCAAATTTTCTGCGTATTGTTACAGGCTACCGATTGGATTAAACTGGGGATCCTTCATTTACTAAAGATTGTTCAGCACAAACAAAATTGGATTTCCTTAACAAAATTTACTTTGACTTACTAAAATTAAATCTTTGCGACATCAATTTACACAGCAAAACACAGAGAAACTGAAATTTTAATTCACACATAAAAAGAGTATTTAAATTAACTAATATAATACTGATAGGACGCACTGAATTTAAATATGACAAGGTGTCGAAATTCGTTAAAATTAATTTAGAAACACTGAAATTAGATAATATGCACTTCCTTTTTAACTTTAATACTCACACTTGGACTAAATATACCCAGTTAAAAATTTAATCTGCTAGCACAATCCTTGAATCTGATATACATTTTAATGTACGTTCAATTCAGACACATCTTAATTAACCAAAATTATATTTTAGGATATCCCATATATAAATGTAGTAACATTCACTACTTTGTTCTTGGAGTAATTATAGCATATGATTATAGAAACACATCCCTGCTACACTAAAAAATCATACTTTTTGAACAGATAAATTCTGTGATGGTTGGGCATTTTTGTACTAGTGCTAATTCATTACCTTTAATACAAGTACAAAATTCTTAAAGTTTAAAGTGTAGGATTACTATTTACAGCACTTCTACCAACTACACAGCCCGTTACTCATTTTAAAGACCACGTTACCTCATTCATGCAATGAATCAATCCATAAGGCGTAGCACCATAATGGGTTTTATCTAGAACACCACACAAAAGTTCTCCTTTTCGAATTATCACTTCTGCTTCGGACATTGTATTTGAATCATTAAATGGGGTTCCTCCTGCCTGCCATACCCTAGGCTCCTCGACCATCCATGACTGGAAAAAATACACAACAGACGCTCAACAGAAACCCACACAAAGGAATCAAACTTGGACAGAAAAGTGCCCACAGTATATAATTCATGAATACCGTAATCCACTAGCACTGGTTAACGATCTGTTTTATTTGCTGGAAATAATGATGTGTAACGTAATTTTAAAAATATAACTGACCTAAGATACCATATCCATCCAAATAAGTTAAGATTATAATTCAGTCTTTGGGTGGAAATATAACTGACCTAAGATACCATATCTATCCAAAGAAGTTAAGATTATAATTCAATCTTTGGGTGCAGAAGGCCATCAGCTTCATAAAAGGATATAGGAAATGTATAAAAATGTGTGTACCCAAAAAAACTTCAAAACACTGGCGCAGATAATTCTACCAGGACTGACAATTAATGACATTCTGTGGTCTTGACTGTCAAACATTTCCAAAACAGTTTTGGAAACAGTAATATAGGGCAACTGATGTACGTATCAAATAAGGCTGGGGATACACGACTGTAACAAATACATCCGTTGTAACACACATCGTGACGTCCGTCATAGAATTATGATTTCTAAGTACAGACAATACTATTATTTTTTTTTCTAAATCCTTTCAAGCTGCCACGGTAATTGGCGCTCGTGTGGTGTCCTCACCTACGTCCGTACAAAAGCACGTCTGTTGCAACGGACGTACTTTGTACGGTCGTGTGGCCCCAGCCTAAGGTCACAGAAGTGGACCTAAACATCTGTATATGATTCTAGACGTTGAGTACAACACGTTGTAAGTGGGTGTCACAGTTATTCAATAAAGAGCAAAAACAAACATGGGTTGGTGCACTGCGTAATCTGGTAGAAGTGTACCGACATCTCAGAGGTACTTGCTGCCTCCATCATTGCCCTGATAAGGTAACAAAATATTTAGAAAGAACAGAAATATCGTGAGAATGGATTTGAAATATTCCCTTACAAGAGAAAAATTTAGAAAAAAGAAAAATGGACTGATTATGTCAAACTCTTTGGTGACCCACATATATAAGAAACATGATGAAATTAAGGATTATATTAATATCAGCAAAGAAAATTATTTTCAGACTTCAATATGTAACAAACCTTGTCTGCAATTTTTGCAGTTGACGTGAGACTAATCGGATACTGTCCAGTAGGTACAATGTTTATAAGCACTGTTGAAATGATTTGCTTCCCAGACCAGCATGGAAGTGGCTTTATGATTGCTGGTGGTAACAGCTTAATTTTGCTCACCCTGTGACTCAGTGCCTGGAACACAAGCTGCTGGTACTCATCTCTGTAACAACATTAAAAATCTACTCAAAACGTACAGAACCAACAATTACATAAATAGTCTTACTTAACAGTATTACAAATATACTATTTGTTACCAGTAATCACATGGTTTTCCTCAATCATTTCAAGTAAAGATGTATCAATAAATTGGATTGTTTCCTTCGCATTCATCTGTATTTTAATAATTTGGACTGTTCTCAATAACACGCTGTGAGGCATACACTGGCATGATTAACTGTTACAGTTTTCTTGTTTATCTCATATGCCACATTGTATAAACCAATTTAAATTTCAAATTGTCTTTGGAAACCTCCATTATCTTTACAACTAGAAGTTAGGTCACTTGCTGACCCACTCCAGCCTCAATCGACCTAGAAAATTTCTGTAATGGTCATCCTTGATTTTTTCATCCATGTGGTATGAAATTTTTTAACAGTTTCAGAAGTTTGTCTCTTTACATTCTGTCAACACGTAGAATCAAATTGATTTTCTATTTACAAAGTCTGTCCCATATAAAAATTATGAACATAAATATGTCCTAATGAGAAATGTATTATGAGTTCCACTACATAAAACCCAACCGACAATGTCCGAACATCAGTAAATATTTGGGGACCAATAAGCAAACTCATGTTAAACATAAGACATTATGAATATGTTACCTTCCAAAAAACCTTCCTCGAACTGAAAGATGTACTCCTGCTACAATATGATCCTGAATCAAACCACTCAGTGGTGTACCGTCTTTCGGCACCAAGTACTGGTTATTTACATTCACTACAAATAAAAGCATAATCATTAACAAAAAATTAATTTCTCAGTACCCAACAGCATAATTATATGAAATCTGAGTTTCTCACAGTGGTAAAGATTTTGACGTTGTTCTCGGTTGTGACACTAATTAAACTCGCGGATAGATACCAACATTTCACAGAAACATGTAGACTCCACTTAATCAACTGAGCTGGATTCAGAGAATGGTGCCTTTAAATTCCTAGTAGCCCGTGGGCTGACTTGTGCCACACTTCACTACATCATCGACGTGATCATCGCCCTGATGACAGAAGTAGCAAGCCCCTCTGAAATTACGGCAAACTTGTACCAGACTACATGGCGCACCAACCCAGATAACAACCATCTTCATATTTGCCACTATGAGAACCTGAAATCCTACTTGTCAAAACAGTATCATCTATCATCTGCTTCCATAAATAAATGTATTAATGTAGTAAGGGACATGACATGAAAAAGTTTACATACGGAGATTATATGCTTCACTGCGAGCCAGTTCGTTCTGAGGGAAATGGGCATTCATTTCATCACCGTCAAAATCGGCATTGTAGGCTTTGCAGTTGGCATAGTGCAGTCTCAAAGTTCTCTCCCCTTTCAGAATGCGCGCAATATGTGCCATGATGCTGGGTCGATGCAGAGTGGGCTGTCTGTTCAAAAGTAGCACATCTCCACTGCAAAGATGTCGGTGTACCTGAAAACACAGTATGACATACAAATCACGAAGTTACCATTTGCCTATGTACAATGCCAAAGCATATAGGAGACCTAAGAATCTATGCGCACCGAGACCTCAGCAAGAAAAGAATCTTAGTTTCACAATTCAGCAGTTACATCACTTCTCCCTCATGCTCAAAAAATATTTTGACATTCTCCTTTCCCAGTGTTGTATGAATGCCAACTGGTGTTTGTTAAATATCTGCAACCATTCACACCATGTGTTCAACCTCTACGTTAATGAACTTCACAACAAAGCACTGAACATTTTAAATTAAATTAATTATACATACTACTTTCATTCCTTTATATATGTCAGATGTGTCACCAGGAGTTAAGAGACGCTTCGCAACACTTTCTCGTTGAATATGATCAGTGGTAGATATCCTTGTTTTAGTACCATCTTCGTTTTCAACCAACACAGCTCTAAAATAAAACAGAATAATAGTTTACCACATAAACATCAGGTGTTATATGTTTAAAATTCTCTCAAAATGCTTATTATGATCTGTCAGCGAAAAATCAGTAATTATCACTTCAACAGATCTTACATAAAATTTGTTCCAAGTTATGTTGCTGCAAGAAATTAAATTACCACATTTTCTACCACCAAAGAGGGATGCAACCTATAAAAAAAAAAGCAACCTAACATCATGTACTTCTGGTATTTCACCTTACCCTGGGTAAACATCAGGTCCATTGAGAACCATCATGCGTAAATCCGCGACATTCCATTCAGTAACTGGCACAGGATATGTTAAAGATTTGGCAAATAATTCTGGAATACCAATTTCTTCGATGCTCAAACACGGATCTGGAGTAATTACAGAACGAGCCGCAAAATTAACACGTTTCCCCATCATGTGCATTCGTATAATGCCTTCCTTCTTCTCTATCACCTTAATAAAACAAGAAAAGAAATATGTGTTAGCTAAGGTCACTCTTACAAAAAATCAATCTGAGGACTTTGTTGTGCCTTCAGTCATTCTTGCATTAACGTGCAGAATTCACTGCTGTGGCCCACGTAATTCTTCTATAAATGTGATCTGGGGGTAACTATTGCACAACGATGTTTCAACAATGACCAATGTTGAACGCATTCCAACAACGGGGACTCTCAGTCATGCAGGCTGTCTATGACCACAGGAAACAGCGAAAGGAAATTGCAAAAAACTGAGATTTTAATGACCTGCCATTACAAAATTAAGTTATTTTAGCTGACCTTTCAATGTATCATTTTTGAAGAAACCTAGTAGGCCTACCTGCTTGATACCTGGGCTAATTTTCAGACCTCTTTGATTGGACTGGCCCATTCCACTATCCATCAAGTGATCCACATCAGACTGCAGATGCTGCCACGCTAGCATCAGCTTCTCTTCAGGAGTGTCGCCACGGATTTGTTCTAACAGGTCCTGAGGAAAAACACAACAAAGATTTTAAGCCAAATTCTTCCACAAGACAAACAGCATAAACCATCCACATTGATGCCCACAATTTTTGGATATGACCAGAACATAATAAGAAGTGATGGTCAAATTAATAAGTTGTTAAGAAAAGAAATAAATCCACATGGCAAAAATTTAAAAAATACTACTCTAACTTAAAACAAACTTTTACCTTTGCTTCTTCTGGCAGGCTGCTTGTGTCCCCATCTCGGATTGTCCTCGTAATATTTTGGATGATTATCGAGTCCTGAATAATGAGCTTGTAGGCTTGTGTTTGTGGATGCTCAACTAACTTATTATTAACAAAATTCACCTGCACACAAAAGATTAAAAATAAAGCAAATAAATAAAATAAAGTTTTACATGTACGTAATAAATATCATGCCATAAACAGTGGAGGTGTTAGGAAATTCTTATGATGATTAATGGGAAAATCAACAGTAACAGAAAAGGAAGAAGTCGTGATTTAATCTGCAATTCTGTAGTCCACTGTGATGAAGCATTCAACACAAACACATAAAGAGTATGGATATTTTCCTAACTGCTAAAATATCTATTGTATTTTAAAGTTACATAAGTCTCTCGTTTTAGGTCACAAGTCACAAGTTTATTTAAAAATAAAATGTGTACGTAAAATATTTCAAACAAACACAAGATAACTGAAACAGTAATAGGAATTATTTGCAACTGACTGTTAACCACTAAGAGGATGCTAATTTAAACTTTAAAAAACGTAGGTATTCACACAATAATAAATGACACGTTTAGAAACCGGGCCAATAAGATGTCACCCACGATATTTCAAGGCTGTAAAACAATAACTTCATAAATTAGTCACAATAGATAGAAATCTATCTTCAGGAAAGGTGACAAGCAACAAAATTTTAGGAATCTTTCTCCAAAACAAAAACATAACCTCCAAAATACAAAATGTTAACAATAGGATCTTCGGGTACTACGTCATTCCCTAAAGATTTGTGATAATAGGTTATTCATTATAGAGATAGGTAAAGTTCTGTCAAAAGTAGACATCTGGGCTGTAGAAACCAATTTGGACATAACTGCACACAATAAAATCAAACAAACTATCACAATTTGATGCTGGGGAATATACATACAGTATTAACTATAATTTAAGTTCACAAACACGCCGTTATAGCTTATATTTCTTTTAAAGCCATAAAATTATGAGAAAAAAACATATTTCAGCACTTACTGGTCTCATTTTGGGTGGTGGAACAGCAATCAGGTCAAGAAAGAAAGTATCAGTGGGGTGTTTCATGTCACAATTTTTTAACACTGGTGAAAGGGTGGTCATGAATTCCTTCTCATTTCTCCAAATCTTACGTAAATGATCCCTACCAATAAAATAAACAAGTGTTACGATAGATCAAACAAATTTACTATTTGCTTAAAATAGATACACACAATGTGATGAGACGTACTGACATTCAGTCACTTCACTAAAATGTTACTCGTTATGTTTGAAGCTCACTCATGACAGCATATTTGAAACTGCCACTGCAGGAAACAAATAAAGATGAAATGATTTAGCAAACACATTATGGATCGACTCCCTTTAAAAATATCCCATCCATCAAGTTCTTTTTAAAGCAAATTTTAATGTGATGTCTATTACGTTGGTACTAGAAACACAATTAAAGCAACACTCAGTTTAAAGGTTGAATTCTTGAATAACAACTTACTATACACTATGACAACTTTCTCCCACTCTTCTTAAACTACCATTTGTAGTCGTCACGCAATTTCTCATTTCATGTTACAGAACCTCTGCCACTTATCATGTAAATGCCGAATAAAAAGAAACGGCTAAATAACCTATAAGTACTGCTCAAACATATAAAACTCTCAGTGTCTAATAATATTTTAAAACATGGCTGTAGGAAAGCTCAGAATTTAAATTAAGGTTAACAAGTCAGTAGTGAGAATAATTAAAAGCCACCCTACACGGCTCGTAGACGAAGAAGAATTTATTAAACTTAGTCGCCATGTGAGCTTATGATCGTACAATGCTACTGGTACTCCTTAATCTTAAATTATTTATCTGAGTGACAAAATAATGCTTCATGCAATGTACAAAGTAACAAAATATGCCAATAACAAATATACACTGTTTACAATTATACATACCTTGATTCATCAGGCAAGATTACAGTTGTAATCTTTTTCCCTTTATTTTCTCCACCATTCTCAGCTCCTCTGAAATGAGAAATGTCGGCTTTCTGATCAGAATTGACAAATTACAGAGATCAGGAAATGTTACACTAACATTATTTGGCCATGGTCATACGAACTGAACGATAACAATGGAAAAACATCAACTTGACTTTGATTAAAAGTTAAGAATTTTAACGACCACAGAAAGCATACACAAAATGACTAACAGAAATATACAAAATATCCTATGCTAGATTTTGTATTCTGGGTTTATGGTGTAAGTTTTATACATTTTAGCCAATTGACTGTCAAAGGACCAAAATAATCAGTTAAATGAATTAAACCAATACAAAAAATTATCAAAGCTCTGGTGAAAGTATAAGGAGAGATTCATGAAGATTATTAGCTCTGATTAATAATATAATTTTTTATTTTCATTGTAAAAGTAGTTAATATATATGAATACAGATGGCAAACTCATTAAACCAACAAAGGATAAGAGCTTTCTGTGAAATGCAACTTAAAAAGAGTTTAGTGTATTACAATATGCAACATGTGATCACCAAGAAAATCATAACAAATTACAGCTTGCCTTCAGTTTACCCAAATCTGTAAAATCACATCTGCAAATTACAAGCGTATGTGAAGGATATGGCACAAATGCGGACTGATGATGAACACGTACATGCATTCCACAAGGCTTTCCACTTTTCTCTGCAGGTGAGTTTTAAGTTTTTAATATTGGTCACTGAATTAAATCTCATTGTTCCCAGAAATGCATTAGAGCAGACTGAAAATGTGTATAATAAGTACATTTTTAAGTCATGTTTTCTGAGCAGCTCAAAATACGCCAACCAAACGAGACTTGCACCTATACTATTCTGAATACTTACCCCGATTCATCAGCTTTAAGGACTGTAGTCACCAATTTATTTTGAAATGATAAAATTTTAATTATCGGAGCTTTACAATTTAAACACTTCTTCATATCCAACACAGATTTGTCCATTGCATTAAGAAGGTCATTTATTAAGGATTCCACAAATTTGGTCTTCGGGGGTGTTTTACAATCTGTACTTCCCTCTGAAAATAGCAATTCAGGAAAATATTAAACCAAACATTGTGGTTGAGTGGCTATAATTCCTGCTTCGTGTTTTGGAGGTAATGGATTCAAATCTTGACCCAGAGGCTATCTTGGCTGAGGGCTTTTTGTGGTTTTCCTCAGTCCTTCCAGGCAAATGCCAGCACAGTACTTTAAATAAGGACATGACCAATTCTCTCATTTGATGCTATGTAGCCTGAGCTACTGAAAAAGCATTGTTAAATAACCAATAAATGAAACTACTAATAAAAGATATTTGTAATTTGTACCTTCTTCATCAATACTAAAAAAAACATACATGAGACTATAATAAACTTAACTTTCATAAAGTAATATACAGCAATTTAAGTAGAGTAGAATCTTCATTTAATGTTCATTACACTCTCTAAATTAATCCCCAATTTCTATGATTCCACACCAGTTATCATAGTGTTGAGAGAAAGATTTTTTCACTTTGGTTTTGAATGATAAATATGCATGCACAAAATTAATTCAGTATAGCAATTAAAATACTAACATTATACTTAGGGTTTAATTGTGTTATGTTTCCTGTCCTCCAACATTACGATCCCTAAAATTATTATTAAAAATTGTCCTTCAAAGAACTATGCAAAACGAAATAATGATAAATTTGGTCTTTACACTTAAAAACACTTTATAATACTTTTGAAATTTAACACTGATATTTCCAGAGAAGATTAATGTATTTCCTCTAAGATATTACTTAACCTGCACATTATTTTCAGGAGATGTGTAAATTGTAACAGAAAGTAATTGTTCTTTCTTCCTGACCTTCAATTACCATGGATTAGGCCCTCTGGTCTGTTCCAAATATAAATATAAATTCATTTTTAAGAGAAAGTGCTTTCCATATACACCCTTCACTGTTAACCAAGACATAAGAACTTCATAAAATTGAAACACGTGGATTATGCGGTGCAAAACAGTAATATGAATAAAACCTTCATGTTTCAATGAACTGTTGTTACCAATTAAAACGAGAAACTGAAAAACCTACAAACCATTACCACTGCATTAAAACCCTAATTTGTTTAAAGTAATGAATATATAGACAATATATTATCCAATTGTCTACAGCACTTGCCTTTATAACACAAGATTATTATTAGTGAACAAAAACTAACCTTTCATTATATTCTTGTAGTATTCATCCAATTTCTCCTTCATCAACTCTGCTTTTACTTCATCAACCACTGTACTATCTTCTGACGAGAGGATGTCTCCAACAACTTCTTCTGTTTCTTGAGCTTCTGTTACAAGACCCTCACCCAAAAGTTTTAACTTTGTTATAAACAATACTTTGGCAACCCCTGTAGAGTAAATTAAATGTATATTAGTAAACACTGAAATGTTTCACAGTAAACTTGTGAGATTTTAAACTGTAGTGAGACAACAGCCTTTGGGGTTATGATACTGCACAGTCAAATACCTTGAAAATGGAAGCACCATGCTCCAAAATGTTGGTAACCACCCACAAAACACAAAGAACACAATCTTAATGGTAAATTTTAATCACAGAAACCTACTAAATAAAAAAATTGTTAACTTGCACAATATGCTTCATTAAAAAAAACACCTCATAATATAGCATAGCTAAAACTCCAAGTATTTTAATGCAATGTATCTAGTACATATTTTATTTTATTGCAAAGATATTTGTCTATTACCTTCTCATGTATTTAACACAGTTTCTTACCTTTTACTTGAAGTGTGTGACAATTCAAACATGCCAACTTCAGAATATGGAAGATTGTTTTGTGGAACAAAGGATTTACAACCGGTAGTGAAAGTTCTATGTAACCAACATGTCCAGAACAGTTGTATACATTGTTTGAACATGTGTAACATGGCTCACTGTTCTCATGTAGAGGACCTGACAAAACAAAATCAAAATGAATTGTGTATTCCTGTGATAAAAGGCAAAGAGCAACTGAGAAAATGTGCGGAGTACAAAGAACTGTAATAAAATCCTTATTATGACAGTTCACATTCCAATATGCACTTCAATCATTAACTTGTGCAGCTCATTCGCCAATGATGATGTCATCACATTCGTATTATTACTGTCTGTGACGGTACCAAAACCTGTAAGCACGTAACTCAAGAATGGGTCGATGGACACGTCCTCGCATTTCCTAGCAGCTCCAACACATGGGATTGGCAATGGTGGAGTTATTACATCCAAGGTAAACATTTGTGTACAAACAAATTTTAAAAATATATATAAATATCTAAAAAGTTCTAGGTAAAGGGGAAGTAATTGGTCTGTGCTTCATTAACCATCCATCATATCATAATTTTTCATGATAAACTTATACAAACAAGGAGTAAAGTGTTTCATAATATATACCAATTACAAATCTGGCCTCCTTCTGGAGTCTAGCTACACATTTTCCAACCAGCTCTATCATATTTTCTCCATAAATACTAGCAAAGATTTAAAGTTTGTGATGTGTTCAATCACTGCATACGCACCTAATGCTGGATCATAAAGCCCGGCTTTCAGCGGATGACCAAGTGCATTAAATGAAAGTGGAGTGGTAATCTTCACTTCACTTAATTTTTTAATTTCATCTTGTGAAAAAATAGAAAATGACAATGCACTAGGATTCAGGTGCAATATTTTGTTACCTTTGCTTTTTAATTTTCGCATTTTTAACACAGTTAAACAGCCTGGAACAAAGAAGAAAGTGTATCACATACAAATCAGTAAAAAATAAAAAGTATTTTATTTCAACAATAAAAATACAAGTGTTGGGGATTATAAAATAAACCCAGTAAGCTAATTATCCATGCCTTAATTTTTTAATTATAGTGAACTATCATTCCACCACATGATTTACATGTTTACATGGAACTGTATCTACAGTCACAGAGTATGTTCAAAAAGAAACATCCCCAGCAATAACTGTGTAGGAGAATTTCTGAACTTCAGAATCATTCCAAATACAGACTGTTCTTCTGGGATGGTATGCCATGTAGCACATTTGATCCAAAATTGTCAACATTTCTCATAAACGATGTGGATCAATGCTGGTTTTGCAGTTTATTGTATATGGTCTAGTTTTGTTTTTGTACCTTGAAAAGATTTTCTAATATGAAACAGTTAAGATGACTGGGATGTTACACAGGGCAGTCTTGTAGAAACTGACTAGCATTTGAGAGTTGCTTATCACCTTCATTCTGACAGTGACTCAGTGTCCTGGTGATGTAGGTGGTAATCACCTCCGACATGTCAGTCAAGATCTACAAAACTCCACAGCCCACATTCAGAAAGGCAGTAATCTTCATTCTGCCACTTTGAGAACATGAAATCTCACCAGGTTAGATGATTTACTGGCATGATACGATCAAAATTCCAAGTCATAAATGTACCACCCTCATACATAAAAGTTTTTATTTTTGAAGCAAAGAACTAAGATTTATCACATGGGTTCATAAATTAACGATGCTGATGACATAAATACTGTTTCTTAAACTGTTTCTTTCGGACCAAACGTTTGACAGAAATATTCTTCCCCACATGCCATCACAGATACGTGCCTCTTCTCATCCTCCAAATCATGTGTCGAATGAAACGACGAGATATCCGAATGTGGAATAGAACATAAATTCGTAAGTACTATTTCAATACATACGATATACAATAAATTTCACTGACCTTTACATGTCGATGCACATGATTACGATAAGAAATAGTTATGAGACATACAAATTTAGCGTGGCTTACAATAGTTTCAACACAAAATTTTCACTACTTTGCAAAGGAGGTTATGAATTCAACCACTATCGTCTGTGCCACAGAATACTATGGTATGTGCCATGTGGTTATAGAATTTAACATGTCAGTGTCGCCAACATGAGAGTATATTATAAAACTAAGACCTCTTTTAATTCAGTCACAATGTATTTTCTTTTTATTTATCCACTATGCTAAATTATTGAGATTACTACAAAAATCACTAGCAAATTTTCCATATGTAAATGAGTAAACGCAACCGAAACTGACTGCAAGATAATTTTACGTTGGCTACCACTGACTCATGCATGGTAGATATGGGTAGGTAACAGTCATCTAGGAGACGATGAGCACATCTATTGGAGGTATGTATAATCACAAATGACCGATTTGTCCTCAATGACTCGGTCGGAGACCTCGCGGACATTTAACCACTGTCCAATTTACCATTTAACCACTCTTTGCATCAGTCCTTCAGAAGCACACAGTACACTCAGCTGCTCAAGAAATTACCCGACTTTTGTGAAACGAATGGTTCATTCTGTGTTCATACAAGCCAGCCAATAATCCATATCCTGGGCTAGTTGAATCCAATTCGAACGTTCCTAAATTATTTCACAAAGCTTCACTTAAATATTACCCTCTCATCTGACTTCTTCCCCATCAGGCTTTCCAAGCCAAAATTCTGTTGTTTCTCACCTTTCCATGCACACTACATGCCCCACCCATCTCATCCTCTGACACTCTCATTCAAATTCTGCAACTTCACATGCCATCTGCCACCCATAAAAGTACCATGAGAATACCCCATGACTCCAAATAAACAGCACAAGGCATTATCAATCATCAATGAGATGGACATTATAATCATCAAGCTCCGATAGGTTAAACTTCTTGTAACAATCTTGAATGCTATGAAAAGTATATAAATCAAAAAAATATTCAATCTAATACACAAATGTAATACTTAAAAAATTCTTGCACGGGTATTATGAATATGACTTTATTGTTCACATATATGTAAGATACGCAATTTACAGATATTGAACATGTCAGGTGGTTTCATCACAGTTTCTTCATTCGACACAGGAACCGCAACTGGAGCATCTTCACTTCGCCTGACGTAAGTTTCACAACTCCGTCCTGGTTATCAATGGACAGGAGCTGCCCCACAGCCTCCCGCTCTTCTCCTAATATTACTTTCACTTGATCAGAACGCTGTGGTACAATTGGCTCCAAATGTTCAGAAACAATGTTCACTACTCGATCTTCATCTGGCAAGAACACTGAGCACATTCCACCCTGAAGATAAGATTTTTAGTATAAGAGTGTGAACTTTGTTATTTAAACACAATCTCAAACAGAAATAGGAATGCTTAAAAACAATACAACAACAAGATAAATGATGATGATAACCATGACTAACTCATCAAAGTAGCTAACAGGTGAAAAGAAATGTTGACCAGCCAAAAATGGTACTCTGTGGGAATTACAAGGTATTGAAATCGAAGAAAAATTAATGAGACTAAAAAAATATTTAAATTACAGGAAAACATGTTCTGAGAATTCAAATGCTGCCATATGGCTCCAGTCACAAACCAGAGTATGTACTTCATAAGCTGGCAATGTCAGTGCTATGATGAATTGGTGCTCGGGCACATGAAATACAGAAATAGGTGCAAGAACAGGGAGGCAAACAGACTTGATGAAAAGCTAGTTCACGTTAGCATTGCCAACAGTTGCAAATTGTGATGGATCGGGTAGTTTGCACGCTAGCGCACAAAATGAAAGCAGTTACCTGAAAGTTCTCAAAATCTGAGACTTAAAAATCAACATTCATGTGAAAATCTCCATTTTTTAATCCAATCTCAAAAATTTTAGATTCTCACATGCCTAGTAGACAAATAACTTACAGAGATTCCTCTGATTACTCCCGTCTGTCCACTTAATCCAGCATCGTCATGTGTGTCCCTGATGCGCACTTCTATGTCAGTTGTTTGCCACTCTTGCTGTAATGTTGCCTGCTGGTCATGCCCCGAACCAGGAATGTGAGGGTTATATGGAGATGGAGCTGCTCCAGGCGTCATAGGGCTGTAGCCAAGAGGGGATGGCGTACCGTATGGGGCAGCGCTCGTCGGAGATGGTGTGTATCCAGATGGACTGGGTGTTGCAACATATCCAGTTGGCGTTCCTAAAACACACAGTATCTCATTTTATTAAATCAATGTGTTTCATGTATGCAGGATTTAAAGCATGAAAGTAAAAGTAAAATTCCCAAGAAGAAGACCAAGATGAAGAAGGAAGCAGAAACTGAGAAGACAGAACTGTGAAAAAGACAGACAGACAAAGAAACTTGACTGACAAGACAACCCACATAAAGCAGGAACATCTCAACAACTCCTTATAAATGTCAGTTTCAATGGCCGTGACAATGAAACTTGTCCATCAAAACACAAAGGATGTATACGACACCCAATCCTGCTAACTATAGTATCATGGCGCAAAGTCCTTCTTGAGAGGCTAATTTACTCAGCCGGTCAAGAAATTCCACCCATTTAATGGAACGCAGAGGTTCAACACCACGTCCTGAACAGCCCACCAAGTACACTTCATAATATTTTTTCTGCCCCTGCCTGATTATGCATCAACCGAAGGTGGTAAGCCACTAGGATGGATGTATGTGTAAATTTCTAAGACTTTCCAGTGAATTTCCTGATTACCAGTGACCAATAAAATGCTATTAGTAGTATATCCGTTTCCTAATTATTAGAGTATAATTGAAAAAATATCACCAACAATACCATTGTACACAGTGGGAGATGGTGATGGCTGATAAGGCGAAAAAGACTGGTCAGATCCATACATTGTACCCGGTGTCTGCGGCGTGTACGGTCCTCCTGCCTGGTAACCTGGAGTGCCTGCAAACATTACAGATAAAATGTGTTTTGGGATTGGATGGTCAAGAAAGAGCATTTAAAATATGTAACAAGAAGCCAGCTCAACAAAAATACATCAAGACAATCACGTACAAAACTCCTTGCAATGGGCCGATCACTTGTCCAAGGAGTCCTACCAAACGTCTAAATAAATCAAGTAACCTCAAGAGTGGCTGCAAAGACCCACACTGGGTTGTGGAGCCAGAGATAATGATGTATAAAACTACATTACAACTTACTAGGATTATAGTTAGGTGAGGGTGATGCATCATCCAAAGAATATCCATCAAAATCGTTGTTCCTTGCAGGTGTGTTGGTAATACTTGGATCCCAGGCTCCTGACTGCCCAGGCGTACGTGAGCCGTCGTGTGATGGCGTCATGCTCCCATAATGTGGAGTTCGTGATCCAGCTGTAAGCAAGAGTGTATGCGTCCATGTATCATAGTAGTATCGCCATATATATTATAATTATAGTCCACATAAATACCTTTTATTTCATGATAGTGCAACAAAATTCTGTTATAAGGAAGTCTCTTCATAAATAATTTACTGTAGGCTACAGAATGTAACATAAATCAATCCACTATGAAAATTAATTGTGACTAAAGAATCCGACTTGTTTCATTGTGTTGGGCTACATTTTTAAAGTGTTATTCACTGCTGCTGAATATGATTTCCCCTAACCTAACCTATGTAATGAATGTGGCAGACATTCATATAATAAACTTAATTTCTTTCACATTTTCCTCAGGAAATCTGATCTACCGATTTAAGAGTTTACAATCATGAAATGAAAGCTTTCCAGATCCACTGGCACGGCATTTTTCTTCCTTCAACAAATTAAGTGGTTTGGCATAGGAGTGAGTGATCGGAATGACCAGATCTGAGGGGTTAACTAATGCTTAAAACTGCTGAAATGTTACAGTATTGTTTGTTCAATCAAAAGTTTTACCATGAATTATTCCAAACCCTGCACTTCCACAACCAATGGGTGTTACGATATTTTGTGACTTCACTTACCATCATACATGGGAGTCTGTGAACCATGCATCGGTGTCTTGCTTCCTTCCCTGTACATAGGTGTCTGACTCCCACCACCATATGCTGGCGTGCGACTATATGAGCTAAAGGATCCCTCCTGAGGAGAAAAGCAAACGAAATATGAACGTTTTATCTTCATAATAAATGCAACTGTTTTAGCTAACTCTAAAAAAATGTGTCTAAGATATTCACGACATAATACTTATTTTGGATGAACAATGTCAAAATTTTATCCTCTAACAATCAAATGGAGCTGTAGGTGGCGTGTATCAAATAATTCAATGCCTTCCATTCAATAGTAAATTGTGAGTAACAGTACCGTGTCGCCAATGGGACGCAGCTGACAGAACGATAGTAGTGACTACACCACAACGCCAGACATAATTTTATGTGACATGGAAAATTATCACTTATTTTGTGCAAATAACAACAGACGTATAGGATATTTATGCGATTGTGGAAATCAATCAAAAGCACTCATTGTACTGAAAATAATGAAATATTGTTCTCAATACAACCAAAAAGTATTCCTATATTTAACATTATCATATTCATCATGCATTAAAATACGAGCGTATAAATGGTCTCGTAACTGTAAGTCATACTTGTTACATCAGCATTTTACTATATGTACAAATATACTGTTCATGACTGTAATCTTGAGACATGGAAGGAATGCGGGAAGGTCGAAGCGTTAAAGGTTGACGCTATCTTTCCTCCTTCACCCCACTTCCTCATCCCGCAAGTCTCAAGATTACAGTCGCGAATTATACATAGCCTATACAGCTTACCTTTGTAGGTACCCCAACACTTGCAATGTGAGATCGATCCACAGATATCGTCTGACAAGTAGAATGTAATTCAACTCGAGCTGTCGACTCAGTTGCATCTTTCACAATACCTACATTTCCTGTAGAAAATCAGTAAAAATATATTTAATATTCATATATATATATATATATATAATTAATTTATAATATTTGTAAACATGCATAATTATCAAATTATGAGGTGTACCTGTGTGAACAGGAATGCAAAAAATCATGACGGCCACCGACTATCAAATGCTTGCGTAGTGATAATAAAAAAAGAGATACAGTAGTAACTGAACAAAACTACAGACCATCTACACATTTCTTGTATGAGACTTCTAAGGTTATCTTAATTTAACTGTGGTTAGTATACTGTCACACACTGCCTGCAGGTCTAATTAAAATGGAATCTCAAGAGCACAACAGTCATATGATATCTGCAGGTGACAACCATTAAAACGAGATGCAGTAAACACCAAATGAAAGAGATGGCATGCAATAAATTCCAGTATTATTTTGTGACAATGGTAGTGATTTGGTTTTGTGTGACAAAACCACTGGATTAAGCACATTCGTTCGGCAAAGGATGTTTTCGGAACACCGTGCGTGCACCCCGCAATAGCCGATTACTGTTAAAATGAGAGAGACAAAGACATAGCTGAAGAAAACTGTGCAACAGATATATTTACCATTACACAATGTCAGAAACCATAATGTAACACTCCATAATCAATCATGATACACAGCAATTAATTTTCCATTGAAAAAAATATTCCAATTACAAGCAGCGCCAGTCTTTTCCATTGAAAAAAATATTCCAATTATAAGCAGCACCAGTCTTAAAGGGCAAAGATTTATTAAAAAAATATTCAGTTTATATTCATATAAATATGGTATTATGTATTGTGGTACATGTTAGCATTTAAATATATGAACTGCAATACATGCAACATCATGCAGTATGATAATCACCTTTGTAAGGACCACCAGTGATTTTGATAGTCTGACCAATCAATTCTCTGTCTCGTCTCACACCTGCGCCACCACGACCACGCCCTCGTCCTCCTCCCCCACCACCGTGCCCTGCTCCCGAGGGATGCAGGGGAGAAGTAATACGGGGTGACATAAATCCCCCAAAACCACCCCCACCAGGTGACATGGTAACCTTCAAAATCACAAACACAAATACTTCAGGTGTCAGAGACAGACGCATAAAATTAAAATACCAACATTTAAGACATTAAAATAATAAATTTCTATACTTATTCAAATCTTGCATCAAAAATGTCCCCATTCTTCCAAGTATAATATAAGGTAATGATAAATTTGTCCCCGCTTAATTACGCACCATGTCATGAACATTTATGGGGAAGTGGAGACACAGCTCCACACATTCTGAAACTCAGTTTTAGATAAGGTCAAGTGGTCAACTTCACACATCTCTGTAATTTACCAAGAATGCAATGGTTAGTTTCAAAAAGATCCTGAACAAGGTACAATTACATTCAAAATGTACTATAATTTAATCTAAAACTGCATAAATTTAGTTATGTCAGTAAAGCGCACATATACATTATTCGAATTAAACGTATCTCGAGAAGAAAACCAGACTTTTGCCCAAACGTCCTTCCACCACATAAAAAAGCACACACAACTGCGACTACGAGACTTACGTGGCATTTATTTTGTTACTGCTTGTTTATATTAATGACTGCCAGATGTTTTCCTCCCACTGAAACTAATTAGAAACCACCGACAATACTGATTACATCTGTCGGTACCTGTTACGGAACTAAGAAAATCAACTGCATAACACACTAGCTACTAACACACTCACCTTAGCACCTCCAGCCAATTGAAGATGCTTCGTCTTGCATACAAATATCCCACCATTGTCGAGATACATTCTAGAGTTTTTTTAAAATTACGGTATAAATGTTTGATCTCTCCACTACGACCCTGTAAATTATCAATGCTCATGTTAATTCCGACATCCACATACCAACAAGGTCAATATGACTGGACAGCTAGGTCAAATTATACAACGCAAATACATATCCAAACAAAGGGACGCTACATATAAATTGATCTTCTAAAATTATATGGAATAATATGAGGCAATGTGGAACACTATTGTCACAGAAAATTTCATTTCCAGAAAATACATTAAATACGGATGTGCAAACGTTAAAATTTATAAATATGAATAGAATAAAAGAATAAAAATTATGGTGAGATCAGAATTTGATTATATAAACTCTCCAACATTATTCTTACAAAAAATGGCTTCTGACATAAGAAATGATGTAAAAGTTCCAATGCATTAGTGTATTAGAAAGTTGGTGATACTTCTTGGTAAAACTCTGAGCCTGAAAGGAAAATAAAATGAGAAGTGGGGCGGAAGATGGTTTGTCAAGCAAAAACCACATCTATTTATTATTATCCCCACTTAATAGTACCTGCACCTTGTCGTGGTGGTGGGGATAGATACCTCAGTGACCCCAAGAGCTATGCTGGCGGTAGCATAGCTACCGGTAGGGCCTCCCTAGTCAGATTGGTCGAGGGGGAGAGGTCAGACTAAGACAGGTACCCTGGTCCTCCAGGTTGGGGGTTGGTCGCAAGGCTAACAACCTTGCACCGTAAAAAGGAAGATGTTTCGAAACCTCGATCAAAGCCTCAGACAGACGGACCTAATGGAGGACCGAATGGAAGAGGAGAATTGAGGAGGCCATGGACCGAATACGGACCGGAGAGCCATAGAAGATGATTTATTATTATAGAAAGATAACATTAAAAAATTAATAAAATACACAAGGGCCTGGTAAATGTGGACTTTAGTTACATGCCGAAGTCCTTTACATTATACTTACCGCATGAGGTCCATCAATGACTTTAACAATGTCTTTCTTCTGTATGGTATTCTGCTCAGAGTCTAAGGCTACAGCATATCTCGAATCCTTTCTTTTCTGAAGAGCCTGAGGTCTCGCCTCTACCACTTTGCCTTGCATATTAAGAACATGAAAGTTCTCTCGTTCCAGTCTAACGATCACACCCACAGTTTGGGGACTGCAAGAAGAAAAATCAAATTGACAGTTCACATTCTGATACATCTATTATTATATTCACAGCTTCTATCAATTCTTAATTTACAAATATTTTTATAGCGTACCATAAAAAAAGCATACAGATACAAGAGTAAATGGCTTGTTCTGCAAAGTAGCATAAATTTGTATTTTAACCAAAAATCAGACATGTATATGTCTACTACTTTTTAAATTCATTAACATCTTTCATAACAGATCCATCAATTCCTAAAGCTTTCTTTGTGGCTGCAGTGTAGTAATACAAATGGATATATAACCACAGAACAAAGTTCAACTTCATACAGGAACTTCACAACATAAAATGTGCATACAGCTCAAAACCCATTACTTCCTGAACATCTGTGAATGAAATTGCAATTTGGTAATACATACTCTATCTGAACACAATCACCCCACTGGAACTGCCCCTGAGAATCAACACCAGTAGCCATATCAGAACAGAGTTGAACATCCTTTGGAAGTACTTCCAACTCATGCATAGTCAAGTCAGAAAACAACACGACACGATTTTCTTCTACTCGAACGATCAGACCTGTGTCTCCCTCATATCGACCTCCTAGTACTTTCACGTGATCACCGTGTCTAAAATACTTCTTCAGCTCATTGGCTTGGAATTCTAGTGGCTCCTGAAACAGTCAACGATGAATAAGCAGCAGTAGTAGTAGTAGTAGTAGCTGGTAGTATCGGCAGGAGGAGAAAAAGTTTCTGTATGAAAGAGGTACCAGAAAAAGGCTTTATGTTATCTGACACATTCAAAACAAAACAAAAACTATGCTGCTTTGGCATTAATCAGTATTTGGTCCATCGCAGCCACAATGTAACTTAAATGCATGGTACATGGTATTAGTCGACACGTGACAGTATTTTGTATCAACTGAGGGAAGGCAGCGTAAAATATATTCTGATTAAAGGTACTCTACAAACTGGTATGCACTGAAGCTCTAATTCTACAATCTTCTGTTTATTTCTTTAATTTTCCTAATTTATTGGGGTTCTGGCAGAAACTTCACAACAATATTACTTTATCTAATTTTTTACATTTAAATTAATTTATTTCCATTCCACTTTGAAGATCCTGAAAACCATAAAATAACAATCTATTCACAGCCAACATAAACTTTCATTCATTATTATTGTATGTCTGGGTTCTATAAAAGGTTTTGAGTAATTATATATTTATGGGGAAAAATTCTAATTATGGATGCTCACATTAAGGTCTTCGTGTCTCGGCATGACGGTGATGACGTTGCCATCAATGGCCAATATCTTTCCATGAAGGTTCACCAATTCACCTTCACACACTTCTACATTGTCACCGGCCGAGAAGTTATGGGATGTGATGTCATCTTTCCCTCCGGCACCAGTACTCGGTAACTCGATATCAATGCCTTCTGGAGCCTCTTCAAACCGTTCCAACTCTGACAAAGTAGGCTTCACTCCTGAGGTAAAAATATTAATATTAACCACAGATGGACACCATAATAATCCTTCATTACAGAGCAACAAGTATTGTTCATCAGACCATCTACATACAGCATAAA